GTACCTGCGAGAGGTGCTGCTGTGGCTCCAAACACAGACGGTACCAGAGCAGCTGCCTTCAGAGAGAACTGGAAAGAAAAGGTCAGGACAAGAGTTGACAACATCAGATATTTGCTGTGTCGGTGCCTGCTCGCCAAATCCACCTGGGAAAGGCAAAAGGAGCTTTGCTGAGACCAAAGTACCTTTGGATGTTGAGGCAGGATCTGGGAAACGTGTCTCCTCTATTCTCTGCAGAGACACATCCCTAATGATATGCCTTCTCCTCCAGAGAGGTCCCGCATCTGTATTTGCCTGCTGATCAGCCGAGAGTTTGCTTCTGATTACAAATTACAGAGAGCGAGGGAAGCGACGAGTCTTTCAAACCATAATGACGATGGAGGCACCAGGTAATAACCCTTGATGAGCTCCTTGGAGAGGGAAGAGTTCATTGACTTGCTGAAGGGAGGGAGGGTCTGACCCTGCCAGCCTGGGGACATTTGTCTCTCAAATGTTGCCTGTAAGGAAGAAGCACAGATTTGCCACAGACTTCAGATGCACCCTTCCTTCAACATCGCTTCCCACCGACCCAGCGATGGAGCGGGAAGCACACGGATTCCTGGTGCTGGTCTCCTTGGATGTGGGAGATGCTTTGGTTCCATCTCAGAGCTCTGCTGGGATGCATGGCCAGCAGCAAGAATCCTGCCCTGTGATATAAACATGTAAGAGGAAGGGATTAATGTAAATTAATATAAAACAAGGCAGCACTGAGGTGTTTGTGTTGCACCCCAAAGTGCTCTGCTGCATGGCCAGGAGTTTCACTGGAGAAATTTCCTTTAAAAAGTAAAAATTGGAGCTTCCCTGGAGCCTTCTGTTGGTCCCAGACATGACATGCTTGTCTCCAAAACAGCAAGATCCTTTATACTACAGAGCAAAAAACCTCCACCAGTGTTAGATGTACCAAGAGGCTTGTTCTGCTCTTAAGTATCATTGATTCAGAGAGCGGTGGAGAGAGCAAAAGTCTTGGCAAATGGCAGGGTAGATGTGTGGAGAAGAGGAGGCTGAGGGGAGACCTTCTCTACTCTCTACAACTACCTGAAAGGAGGGTGTAGCAAGGTGGGGTCAGTCTCTTCTCCCAGGTAACCAGCAATAGGATGAGAGGAAATGGCCTCAAGTTGTTCCAGGGCAGGTTCAGGTTGGATATGAGGAAAAAATTCTCCAAAAGAGCAATCAGACATTGGAACAGGCTGCCCATGGCAGTGGTGGAGTCACCATCCCTGGAGGTGTTCAAGAAACATGTAGATGTAGCACTCAGCGACGTGGTTTAGTGGACATGGTGGTGATGAGTTGATGGTTGGACTGGATGATCTTAGAAGTCTTTTCCAACCCTAATGCTTCTGTGATTCTGTGTATTGCTGCATGTTTAGGAAGCCAGAGAAAAGTGAATTGGACTTGCACGTTTGCATGTGTGTCCACAGGGTTGTGCATGTGGCAAAGCAGCAAATCCCCAAGGAATGCATCACAGTTTTGGTGAGATGCAAACCAGCTTTGCCTCGTTGTGTAGAGGTGGTCAGTGCTCGTGATCCTGGCTACAAACCAAGCCATAACTCTGTTAATGAAGTTGCATTAATTAGGGTTTAACAAATCATTCAGCCCGTGCACCTCCTGCAGACCCGGTGCCAGTTCATCGTGGCACAGATCCAAAGCTGGCTGAGTAAAAAAGCGTGTTAAGCTAAAGATCTGATCACGACTCCATAGCTTTCTGATCCCTTCACCTACATTCAGAATAAAATTTAAAGGGCTTAAAAGATCTGTGCGTAGCTGCGCTTGGAAGAGAGCTTGATACCATCTGAGACCGCGATTATTTATTCTCCTTTATCATACAACGTGCAACATATGGGCCCCTTTCTCCACCGCCGATGACTAAATGATGGCATCTGGTACTCTATTATATTGCAAGTGTAAAGCAAATGAGAAAAGATCCCTTTCAAACAGCACTTTGCTGTTGTTGCAAAGACGCTCTTGATATTTTCATTCCAAGGTGTCGCTTTGTTGACTTACAGAACCATCCCATTCCGAGCCAGACATGTTTCTTGGAGGATGTCGAGATGGCTGGGAACTGTTTTTGTTTTGTTGGGTTTTTTTTTTCCTTTAATGCCTCATCTGGTCCCCACAGATGGGATGATCCATCACCTGCTGCATCTTCACACCCGTTGTGGATATTGTGTGCTCTTCAGAGCGCACCCGCTGAGCACAGACACCGGCGCGTGTTACCCTGAGCAGCTGAACAGTTCTCACTGCTGTTGCTTTTCAAAGCAGCTTGAGCAGCAGGGTGGATTGAGGCACATTTTGAGAAGGCCAGAGCTCATGTCCCTCAGTGAGCACCCATGGGTGATGCCACCTCCAGCATGCAAAGCGTCCTCTGTCTTTGCACGTGCACAGCAGGACGCAGAGGTGCTGAGCAAACCACGAAGATCTGCCCTGGTTGAACATCGCTGCCAGGTTTTCTCTCTCGTTGGCACTTAAGACCAGGGCTGATGCTCACAGGAGCAGAGGAAGGGAATTGGTGATTCCTGGATGGTGGGTGATCCAGAGCCAAAAAGCGGTTCTCCATCACGTGGAGACCTCCTTCAGCCTTGTGCAGGCAAGGTCTGAGCTTTTCTGAGGTCTATCCTTGGGGTCACGCAAGGGAAGACCTTGGAACTATCATCTCATCATGAGGAGGACCTGTGGCTCATCTAGAAGATGGATATGCCATAGGGCTGTCATGTCCGTGGTTCCAACTGGTCCCATAAAGCCTGCATCAGCCTGTTAAGAGACAGAAGTAACTGGGAACCAGTATAGTGCCCATAGATGCAGCTGGCAAAGTGCTGGCATAATCAAAGCACCTGTGGATTCCTGGATGGGAACTGTTCGTGGCAAAATTGTTCCTAGAGAAGGAATTGCTTTGGCTTGGTTGAGTTGAGAGCTTGTCCACCCCCACAGGGCAGGGTCACCCTCTGAAGCCTGGCATCTTCCCCAAACTGTCCTTTAGTTTCCAGGTTTTGTGTCCCTCCAAGGCAAGCTGTTCCCATACCCAACTGTCCTCACCAGAGACTCGTTCATCCCAACATCTCATCTTTCTCTTCCTGGATGCAATTTAAGTCCGTTGTGGGTTTTTAACAACTGAGTGGTTCAGAAGTCAAAGCCACGGGGAGTTTTACTGGTGCCCCAGCATTGGAAGCTGGTGCACAAGGTGAACATCATCTCGCAGGGTGCTTTGGAGAGCTGGAGCTTCGCTCTTACAGGCGATCTCATGGGGCAGACCTAGAGCATAACATGGGCTCCAAACAGCTCACACTGGGGTAGTTTTGTCATAGTTACCCCAGGTCCATGCCTGAAGGATCCATGGGGTCATTATTTATCCAACAGCATCTGCAACATGCCTCCACTTTGTGGGTCATCTCTTTTCTCCTCCATTTCCCACCATTTCTTCTCCAGAAGAAACCCAAAACAAGCACCGTTGAGCTTTGCCACTAGGTCCTGAGCTCAGAGTCCATCAACATATGTTTGTGTATTTATTTTAGGATGTGATTAACGTTAACTAGATTTTTTTAAAAGACTGTTTTTGTTCAGCCAACGGTGCTTTGCCAGCACAAAACGTTCTGTGTTTGGAGCAAAGCACAGCAAATTGGACGCTGCTTCAAAACACAAAGAAAGGGGGGGAAGGGGGGGGGTGGTTTAGGGGAATGCTATTTTCTGCTCTCTAGTGAAGAGTAGTGCCGAGCATTTATCAAAGATAAAGAGAAACAGGAAAAGCTGCCAAGCTGCAGACAGAAGAAGAACGAGGTAGATTTGGCCGTTGGGGGACCAGAGAGTGATTGTTTTTCCTCCAGCATGTTCTGGGCTCTGAATGAAGGTTGCTGTGGTGGATTGTGGGGTCTTGCTTGTCTTATCTTTGTGTTTGTGTTAAATAAAGCGGTGGCAGCAGAAGGGTTGGCATTGCACTAGGGCTGAGCAGGGCAACTTCTGAGCCTCACGCGAGGTGATGTGCCAATGTGGGGGGAGAAGAAGACAGGTTCCTCATCATCATGGGGTGCCAGGAGAGCAGATAATGTGTCTGTAGCTCCACAGGGCTCTCCCTGTACATGGGTTTGCAGAAAGGGAGATGATTGACTTGTCTGCCTTCTCCGAGGCTGCAGCGAGGTGCTGCTCTGCAGCCCAGCACCATCTCCCATGGCAGCACCACTCTGAGCAGAGCCATCCCTCCCATGGGGCGTGGGAGGTTTGAAGGCTCCTTATGGCTCTGGTATGCTCTTTCCTTGGCTTTTTTCACCTTCTGCAGCAATCTCTAGGTGCTGAACTCTTCTTGACCCTTTCCATGTGCTTCCCAAGTCCCTGGACCTCTCTGAAGGGTTGTGGTCTGCTGCATTTTTCCTCAAGGAGGAAAGTGCATGAAGAAGGGAACGGTGCAAATGTGGCAGCTTTGCTCACACCAGAGCAGAGTTATCCAGATCTTGCTGCTCCTCAACCTTTCCTGCTCCTCAGTGTCAGCAGCACTGTCTGCATTGTCCCCATGAGTGGCACGTAGCAGCACAGCCTGAAGATTAGAGTAAGCTGGAGACAGGAGCTGTCAACAGACAGGTGCCCATGTTTGCTCTCACCAAAGTTGGAGATGGTTTGCAGATCAGAGCTTCCCCTTCAGTCCCTGCACGGGCAGGATTTTCCTGATGGTGCAAGAAAGACCACAAAGCTGGTCTTGGAGAACCTCTGGTGCTGCACATCATGGATGCATCATCCTGCTGCAGTTCTAATCCCAGAGGTGCTGGGTTGGAGAGGTGCAGCAGAGTAGGTTGGAGCAGAACTTGTTAAAGTCATGCTGTGACTTTCCCTTGCAACAGCATCGCTTGGTCCTCTCCTTAAAAACATCATGAAAATTGTATCTCTGGGGGCTCCTCTGTGGCAAGAGGAGGGAGATGCTGTGCCCCACTGCTCGCTGCTGGACCCCAGTGTCCCCTGACACCCCGCTCCTCCCTCTCTTGCAGCTGACCTACCTGCCTCCGCCGTGGGGTGAATGTCGCTCGTCGGATATGGGCTTAGACTTCTTTCCCGTTTACAGTATCACAGCTTGCAGGATCGACTGCGAGACCCGCTACATTGTGGAAAACTGCAACTGCAAAATGGTTCACATGCCAGGTCAGTGTGCTGGGGAAACAGGGACAACCCCCTCTCCACCCAGCCTGGGTCGGTAAGGGTTAATGAGCTGGAGAGGGATGAGGGATGAAGGAAGCTGGGAATCCTTTCCCTAAGGAAAGAAGGATGCTGGTAGCCTTTGCCGAATGCTCTGGAATAGGGACAAGATGTACCCAGGGCCATGGGTCTGATTTAGAATCCCAGACTGGTTTGGGTTGCAAGGGACCTCAAAGCTCATCCAGTCCCAACCCCCCTGCCAGCAGCAGGGACACCTTCCACTAGACCAGGTTGCTCAAAGCCTCATCCAACCTGGCCAAGAACACTTTCCCCTTATGTAGCCCCAGTTAACACCCCTGGGTGGTATTTCCAGCAGCCCCCTCCTTGGTTTGCCAGAGAAGGTCTCCATGGCAGGCAGAGGTGGGGCAGATGCTACAATACCTCTGCTGCCCATCTCCAGCTTGGGTTCACTTTGCTAAAAGGAGGTCCTTGTGGTCCCCACGGAGAGCCCGGCTGTCCCCATCTCCCTTGCAGCAGTAGTGGCTGATGCCCACTGATGGATGCGTCCTTTCCATGCAGGAGATGCTCCCTTCTGTACCCCGGAGCAGTATAAGGAGTGCGCAGAGCCTGCGCTCGGTGAGTACCAAGAGTTATCCCTGGGTCCCACGGGTGTCCCAAGGTGGGGGGACTTCCAGCAGCCTGTGTCCTCCTGACTGGCAGGACTGGGGTGATCTAGAGCAGCTGCAACCCGGTAGTGGGTTTTGACGAGACCCAAGTTTTTAGGAAGAGCTGGATGGTGCACCCTGGGATGAAGTTTCTTCTGGTTCTACCTGGGGCACAGGGCTCCATCAGTGCAGAAACCCTTGGGATAATGGGCACTCCAAGATATGTAGGAGGGGCGCACCTCTGGGTCTCGGTTTGGGATGGAGGGACCCATTCTGGGCCTGAATTTAGAAGATTCAATCACCATATGTTCCTCCAGCAAAAGGCCTCTCTGCAAGATGGTGGAGATGGCCATGCAGTGAAGTGGGAGAGAAATGACCAGGACTGAGTTTCCTGCAGCTTTTCTGAGATGTGACTCTTTGGCCCCTCTCTGGGTGACATGACCTCTGCTCCCACGTCTCCATGAGATCTAACTCTGTGACCTTCTCCAGGTTTGCTTGCTGAAAAGGACAGCAATTACTGCATCTGCAGGACACCCTGTAACCTGACCAGATACAACAAGGAGCTCTCCATGGTCAAGATCCCCAGCAAGACCTCAGCCAAGTACCTGGAGAAGAAGTTCAACAAATCGGAAAAATATATCTCGTGAGTGTTGTAGAAAACAGATCTTTGCTTTATTGGGGGGAAAGTGTCTGTTTAAACCAGCTTGTGCTAAAACCAGACCTTGCCAATGCCTCCATCACCAGAGATACATCCTCCATCACCAGAGGTATGTCCTCCAGGGAGGGTTAGGGTGAACCCTTGAAGAGATGAGGTGTAAGTTGCTTTCTTCCCAGTAGACGTGTTTCCAGACAGCTCTATGTTCCTTCCCTGGCTTCCATACCCACCAAAAAAATTGCAAAAAGTCCTCTTATTTGGCCAAGGAAGCCCAGTCTTGCTGGCCCCATATGAGATATGGCTGCTCTCTACCTAAGTCTGGGCTGTGGACCTCAGGCAGCCGCTGTCTTAGACCTCTCCCAACCCTGGGCACATTTCCTTGTGGAGGCAGCGAGAGTTATTCCATTTTAACCACACTTTGGACTCTTGCTGTTATCATCAAAGTGAGATCCAGAGCCCAGATCCTGAGAAATCTTGGAGAAACATTTTCTAGCTTCTACTAAGGCTGCCAGAGTCCTAACTGTGCCCTATGGTCTTGGTTTCCAGAAGGTCCAAGTGTCTGTGGGTTGCTGAGGACCCCAGAAAGAGAACAGTTAGGATAGAGAAGGGAATAAAGCCCCAAAGTCCCATTTTTTTTCTTGTCCCAAAGCACATGAGGCCGCTGGTGGCATCTGGGCTGATACTGTTGTCCTCTTTCTACAGAGAGAATATTCTTGTGCTGGACATATTTTTTGAAGCACTCAACTATGAGACAATTGAGCAGAAGAAAGCCTATGAAGTGGCAGCCTTACTTGGTAAGGAGAGATCAGGGGTGCAACTTGGGAGTCTGTGTGAGCCTGAGCTGGAGTCCACGTGTGTTTGTGGGACAGACAGATGCTGTGAGTGGGTGCACAGCTTATGTGCCTTGCCTGGAAAATCCCAGCAAGGTCCAGACACCTTCCTGGCCAACATGCTTTCAACCCCATCTTATTTTCCTTCCAACACCAAAGCATCCCAGGAATGTCCTAGGGACCACACCTAGGACATTCTGTGTCACTTGTGAAAGGTTAACATGAGCTGTTCCATCTCTGCTTGCTACCAGCACCCTATTATTTGGAAATCCTGGGACTGAGTAAGTGATGGATGCTCTCTGTGGTGCCCCTCATGCTGGAAGAGCAGTGTATGGAGGACAGCTCTTAAAACCATCTACCCATCCCCTTTTACATGCTCCAAATCCATCCTCCTTTCCAACCAGGCCAGCCAGGACCCTGAGCTCTTTGCCTTTGGGTGTTGCCCCACAGCTTGATGGAGAAGGTGGAGGAGTTGTTCTGTTGCTCCGCCTCAAACTGGGTCAAGCTTTGTGGGTGCCAGCTACAGATTTGGGTGCCTAGGACCCGTTGGGTTTAGGGGTGGAGGTGTTTGGTCAGGAGAAGCAAGCATGCTCTGTGCCCACATTCAGCCTTGCAGCCCCCCATGTGCCACCCCAAATCCCTCCTGGGGATTTGGGAGTGATCAGCACCTTCATTTGAAAGCTGGAGCGGGGCTGTCCCACTGCGAGCCTGCCCAGGGATGGGGACATTGTGGGGAGCAGAGCACCCCACATCCCATTGGGTGCCCCCATGTCACCCCACAGTGGTAGCTCTGCCAAACGTACATGCTGTGAGCCCTTCTGCACCTCTTGTGGGTTCCCCAAGACGGCTACAGCGAGGAAGAGGAGGCTGGTGATGAAGCCTCTTTGACACAAGCCTTCTTTGCACGACCTTGCATGACCTTCATTCCCAGGGCACTGTGGGCTTTGGGCAGAGTCTCATCTTCCCCCAGTCCTCAGCCCCTTTTGAACCAGCTCTTTGCCCCCAAGCACCATTTTTCCTCGTTCTTCTGTCTCTTGTCTCATGGACACCCACAGTAAAGGTCCCGTAGCTCCTCCACCCATGGGTGCCTTTGCTCTGGAGATCAACGTGGTTGAACCTTGGGTGTTTTGCAGCAAAATGCATGAGATTTGTCTTCCCTGAAGCACACGGTTTGGCATAGCACAGCGTCTCACATCAGCAGCTACCTTCCCAGCAGATTCCTGGAAGTCTTCTCTCCCCATGGTGCCTCCTCCACAGCCCCTCCCCAGCCCTGAGGGGACTCAAGCAGCCTGGAGATGTTCCCCTAAAAAGTCAGCCCATCTCCCTTTCCTCTCATTGGCAAGTTTGGGTTTTTTCTCAGCACCAGGGGACATTACCTAATTCTTCTCCAGCATCTTTCTCCTTCCCCCAGCCAGTTTGGGAATTGGGCTTTAGGATTCCTGGGATGAAGCCTGCTGGCTGACTCTGACAGATGGCTTCCTTGCATGCCAGTGTGTGGTATCACATCCTCATTAGGCTTCCAACTGATGGCCTCGTTAGCTGGAGAAATGTTTTGGTGGTCAGCAACGTCCTTCCCAGGATGTTTTTCATGGCATTAAAGCTGTTGGTGTCTCAAAGGTCATTCCCTTGGTCATCCCCCTGCTCTTTGAGGACGGCAGCACACGGGGCAGTTGCACCACGGTTGCATGGGTGCCTCAAAGAGTATTTATCCCCAGGGTACAAACCATCCATGTGTTGTTCTCTCTCCTAGGTGACATTGGAGGCCAGATGGGGCTATTTATCGGTGCTAGCATCCTCACTATACTAGAGCTCTTCGATTATTTATACGAGGTAAGACCCTCGCCCTTCGCCTCATTCCTCTGGCAGGGAGTGGGTTTGCCAGCCTTGATGCCAAGATGGGGGTAGTCACAGATCAGGACCCTCCATGCCCAATGTGCCTAATTAATTTTAATTAATTATACTGTATAGTTAATGCTCTACAATAGTGCTACGCAGTTGGTCACGGCTGTGTAACGTGGTCCCTGCTCAGCATGGCGTGCAGCCATGGCATGGCATAGCCAGGTTCACTTGGCACCCTGCCTCTGCTAACGAGCTTTGCAACTCGTTTGGGCTCATTAAGCACCACGTTCATGTGGCTGTGCTGCTTCTCAGCCTGAAGTTTGTACTGCCTGGGGCCTGCTGCTGACCCCTCCTGCCCCTGTCCCCAGTTGGGCTTCTACCAGCAGCACGCCGTTATCATCTTATAAAAACACCTTTAATTAATGCATGAGTCCCAGTCCAGCCATCAGGCAGGGGAAGCAACAAGGCCAGACCTTGTACCTCTGCCAGGGGGTGGAAAAACCCCAATCCCTCTTCTCTGCTGTCTGCAGCTCTGCCAGCAGCCCTGGAGCAAAGAGCTTTCTAGGAAGCACCAAGATGAGCTCGAGCGAGGTCCCGTGGCTCCGTGGTGGCTGACAGCAGCTGCTCCAGAGAAAAGTCCAACTCCTCTTTAATGAGAATTATTGCAATAAGCACTCTGGAGAGGATGTTGCATTCTGGCTTGTTATGACCCTTGTATATTTTTAATCCCTTTTTGCCTAAGCAAGTTCCCCCAGTGAACGCTGATGACCCAGCTCAGCAGCTCCCAGGGGATTTCAGCTTTTCGATGCCGCAGTACCAACATGAGCCTTGGCAGCGCCATGCTGCCACAGCCTGCCTGTGGGCATTGTCCCTCCAGCACCCTCCACCACTCTCCCTGCCAGTGCAGAGACAGATTCCAGCTGCTCTCTGCACCTTCCTGCTGTTTGGACTTTTTCCACCCTATTTTTTTCACCTAAATGGGTCACCGACCAAAATAACCCTCCCTGGAGCATCCTCCCTTCCAGTCGTTTGTTTTTCCTTCCCAGTCTTCATCACCACATTGCAGAAGGCTTCGTGTTGGGGCTCAAGCTCATTATTTTTGTTTATAAAAGGGGAAATTGAAGCAGAGAGAGGGGTTGCAGCTGGATGTGAGCTGCTGAGGAGCTCCCAGTTTGTACCAAGATGACCCCAAGGACCCGAACAGGCAGGTGTGTGTCCTGTTTTATAGCAGGAAAGAATGAGTTCATGGCTTGGGATTGCTTCAGGAGGATGCAAACACCTATGGAGACAGGCAGTCTATCTCCAGTCTATCTGGCACATCCCAGCCCAAGGTCTATTGCCTTTGTCCCTGGGAAGGTGGCTCCTGCTAATTCAGCTCATCTGCTCATTGCCTGGTGATTTTAACACAATGGCTTTGGGCCCCCTGCACCCAAATATGCAGTATTTTAGAGCTGCCTAGTCAGTTCTGTGTCATGATGTGACCAGGGATTTTTAATCCCATGGGATATTGCAGTCAGGGGTTGTTCATGTGCCAAGCCAGGTGGGTACACAGGGATGTTGGGTAACCACAGTCTCTGCTCCGAGCTCGCTGGGACAGCTTGAAAAAAAAACCAAACCTTTTAATGTTATTAAAGTTGGGATGCTGGCTTTACGTTTTAAGCCAGTCACTCCCCATCACAGTCCTTCTGGGCAGCTCTTAGCACTTGGTGGCATTATTCTGCAATAAAATATATTGAAATTTACAAGCATAAAGCTCCTAATGGCATCGGAGTGCAAACAAAACCTGTGCCTCAGTTTATATCTCAGGCTGAATGCACACAATATTTCATTAAAATCACCTATTCCCAGCTTTCTTGAGGTTCTTTCATAAGGAGGTAATAAGAAACCTCACAAAGTTTGGATTTTTCTGCTCTATTTTACTCCTTTGTTTGACATCTGCCTATAAAGCTTGGCAAATAGTTTCCTCTTGATGTTTTTTTTTTTCTTCTTCTTTTTGGGCAAGCATGGTTTGTTGAAGAGAGCATCCTGTCTCCTTGGAGAAGCTCCCCGTGCACACCTAGGCATGCACCCAGCTATGCTCTATGCAGGGCATCTTCCTGGTCACCCCTGACAGATATTTAACCCACATCAAACAGGGAGAAAAGGAATCAAATGTCTTAAATGATGCCAAATCTACATGGCTGATCGAATCTGCTCAGGGTTTCATCAAGGTGGGTTCAGCCCACCTACAACTCATTGCGTTTTCAGCCAAATCATTTATAAACTCTTTGAGATTGCCAACAAAGAGATACAACTATTCTTTTCTGGTGGGTCAGCCAAAATTGGATGAAATATTAACCCTAGAGATGGGTTTTTGCATCATTTGCTCAGCACAATCCCCTTCTTGCACCTGCCCCAGGGCAGAATGTGCTCCTGGGTTCAGTGGGGTCCCAAATCCCCACCACACATCTCTCCGTGCCAGCCAGTGTCCACCTCGCTTCCTTAGGAATTGACCCAATTTTTCACATTTTTGGCTTTCTTCAGGTTTTTTTCTTTTTTCCCCCGTTGGAAGTTTTTCAGAAGAACACTTGCTTCTCAACCTTCCTGGGATTTCCCTTGAAAATCTGTTCTTCAGCAGCAGCGGCTGCCAGGGAAATAATGTGTCTGTGAAGGAAAAATGTGCTCACAAAGCTGAGATTTTTCAATAAACCCCCAAATATATTTTAAAAAAATAGTGTTTGGGAATTTTGGGGGTGTTTTGTTTTTTTTTCCCATGTGAAGAGTTCAGTTTTGACACATGGGGTGCTTTTGTTGGAAGGATTGTCTCCTACTCCCTATCCTTTAGAGGGTGTCCTCCAAAGCCAGCCCCCATCACTTGGGGTTGTGAACCCAGCCCCGTCGGGTGGGTGCCCAGGCAGGCAGGGCAGATGTGCCTGCCTGTCCCTGCCCACTTTAACCCAACCTCCCTCTTTTGCAGCTGATCAAGGAGAAATTATTAGACCTACTTGGAAAGGAGGAAGAAGAAGGGAGCCATGATGAGAACGTGGTAAGGAGCCCCACTGGGAGAGAGGAGGACATTTCCCTGTAGGCAGGTGAAGTATCTTGATACAAAATCCCAGAATCCCAGAGCTGCCTGGATTGGAAAAGCCCTTTAAGCTCATCGAGTCCCATCATGAACCCAACACTGACCAGTCCCTGACTAACCCATGTCCCTCAGCACTATGTCTACACGACTCTTCAATCCCTCCAGGGATGGGGACTCCACCACTGCCCTGGGCAACCCCTTCCAATGCCTCAGAACCCTTTCAGCAAAGAAATTCTTCCTCACATCCCATCTCAACTGCCCTGGGCACAACTGGAGCCCATTTCCTCTTGTCCTGTCCCTTGGGCCTTGGTTGAGCAGACCCACCCCCACCTCTCTCCACCCTCCTTTCAGGTAGTTGTAGAGAATGGATGCAACGTTCAGCCCCAACTTGAGTTATTTCCAACAGATTGATGCTATGGCTTGGCCAAAGAAAGGAGATAGCAGTTGGGGTGGGACAGGGAGCATCCAGCATCCCCAGGGTAACCCTGTCCCCTGCTCTTGGTCCACAGAGCACTTGCGACCCGATGCCAAATCATTCGGAAACCATCAGCCACACTGTGAACGTGCCGCTGCAGGCCACCCTGGGAACGCTGGAGGAGATCGCCTGCTGACACCGTCCGACCGCTCCACAGTGCCAACACCTAAGGAAGGAAAACTGCACAGGAAAGCAGGGACCGAGCTCAGGTTTGCAACGGGGGAAAAAAAAAATAAAAAAAATAAAAATATATTTAAAAAAAAAAAAAGGAAGAAAATCGCTATGCATTTAAAAAAAATAAATATATATATTATATATATACTCTGCCAAAACCAAGCGAGAGGCGCCTTGGACTTGACTTGTGTTGTCCTTTCCTGTGGGGTGGGGGTTGTCTTCAAGATGTGAAGGCAGCAGCTCATTTTTTTGAACTGTACAAACCACAGAGACCAACCACCAAAAAAACCCAAACCGAAGCCCCAGCCGCCATTTCACATACTCCCAGATGTACAAAGCACTTGCATGCCAGTTCTTTTTACCGCAATATCTATTCCTAGCTGTCTTTATAAGCTCTGTTCCTCTTTACAGTCTCTGATTTTCACTACAAGAAGGAACTCGCGGGCCCAGCCATCCCCTGAAATCACCATTACTAACGTCGTAGGCTGAATTTAGAATAAAGAAAACAAAAAGTCGCAGCTCTTGGATTCTTCTTACGTTCATTGTCCTTCGTGTCAGTCTGTGATGAATCTTAAGCTAAGCTGGGCCTCGGGTCACTGCCGAGTCTCCTCAGCGCTACCAGTCACCCCAAGGTGAGCATCCCTGGAGAGGGGCCGGACCGGGTGGCTCTCAGTGGATCATCCCCCCCCCTCCCTGGCTGCTGTGTCGTTCTGCATCTGCAGTACCTGGATAGTCCATCTGCGGTGGGTGGGCGTGGGGCAGTGGGTTTCTTGATTATTTTTTAAATGAATTCTTTTTATTTTAATTATTTTTTTTTAATTTTTCCCGTTAATGGATTCTGTGCTTTCTCCTCGTTCTCATGACTGATATTAAAGCTGGTCTTGTGGAAATGGCCGGACTGTGTCATTTCTGCCTTGCCCCCTCCCCGCCCCCCACTCCAAGCTGGAGC